GGGGGGGGGTGTTGGAGAAATTGCCTAATGGTGGACTTAGTTTTCATTGCAATAGTAATTGGCATTTAAGGGGTTAAAATATAAAATGTATGCTGGTGGGGGGATGCAGGCAGCTGGTGGATCTGGAAGAGGGTACTCGACAAGAAAAAGTTTGGAATCTCTACCTCGAGGAAGAGAAATGGACAGAAAGGGAAGAGAAATGAGCAAGTGGAATACAAAAGGTAGCCCCCCCCCCAAAAAAAAGGCACCTGAAGCCTGTCTTTGCTGGCTGGGCTTTCCATTACGTATGCATAATAAACAAGTGTCCTTCCACCTGGTGTTTTCAAGGACTCCGGAGCCCAGAGGCTAAGATTAAAGTTACACGGAGAGGGCCAATTCTAGTTTACTGTAAGCAAAACAAAGTGTTAAAACCTCTCCATTCATCTCCCCAGGTAGGTGCATGCATGCACAAACACACATGCTTTGCAAAACCACACTCATGGGTTATAATCTCTGGCTCCAGAAATGCAAGTCCCTACCGGGTAACCTAAATCTGGGGCCCTCCATCAGCCTGAGCTGTCAAATGTACTGTCACAGTCTTTGCCTCAGCCATTAGGGCCCCCAGAGCTCATCTCTGCCTCTCCCACATACCATGTCGAGTGTGTGACATTTAGAGGATTTGAAGCCTTTGGGTCAAGGACTGTTGTGTAAGTAGATCTGTACGTAAAGATACTCAAAGTTGCCAAAACCGGGAAATGTTCTTCTCAAGACGCATTGATTCCAGGTGTCAGTCCCTTGCAGTAAGAACTACTAGGGATAAATTCAGCCTCTAAAGGACATCTGTAGTTTACTGCCTCTCATGCATCAAACCACACACCTGCTCAAGTATGTCTGCATACTGCAGCACGGCTTTCTACTAGGTACAGGTTTTCTTAACCCCACTTGGTGGTGGACGAGCCAGTCACATTCAAATGTACTGAATTAAGATTTTTGCTAGAGCTGAACTTAAATTTGCTGCATCTGGGAGCCTCTCAGGGGCAATAACCAGTAACTGAAAGGTAAAAGTCCAGTCCTGCATTCAGTTGTTCACCATTGTTTTATCTTTTATCTGTGCTTTCCAGATAAATGGCCAAAAAAAAGCTTCTGTCATCCCAAATGATCTCAGTGACTCCTTTGAGGAAGAAGTTAAAGCTTTTCTGAGTGATGAAGATACACTACATCTCTTTGATGACCTTACCAAAGTTAATCCTGTGACCACCACAACAGGCAAGTACATAGAGCCAGAGGCACCTTCTGTAGTGTTGCTTCCTTTTATATGGCAAATTTCCCCAATAACTGTCAACATAATGCGGTCAGCTATTGTGATCACATTAATACTATGGGGAAATTACAGTTCAGGATCCAAAGCCTATTAAAATCAATGGAAGGATTCCTACTGACTTTGGATCAGTCCTTAAAACTTGTTTTCGTCAATATCCTTGAGCCTCTCGCGGCATTAGCAAGCAAGAACTAGGAACTGAATGGAGAACTTACAACCTGAGCCATTGGTTAAAGGGCATCTGGGCTCGGTAGTACTTGGAAGCTACTGCTCTCGGGGAATTCACGTGGTCTCCTTGGAAAAAACACTGTGGCCTCAGCCCAGTTTCTGCACACAGATTTCCTTATCTCAAGACACCACACAAACTGTAGAGTTTCCTTGCCGCACCACTCTTAGTAGAAAAGCCACGTATTGAACTCAGACTTGGAAACAAAGCTTCTCCCGTAACTGTAGAGCTGGACTACGTTGAGGAAGAGTGGTGGGACTACATGGAGAAGTCTCCCTACCTTTACTTGCTCCATGAATGAAGAGATGACTCCACATGTGGAGCCTCTCATGGGGGGGCGAGAAAGAAATAAAATAGTTAATTGGTGATCTCGCAAGTTTTTTTAAACGGCAAGTCAACAAACAGAATATGATGCCTATTAGATACCGAAATTCTCTTATTGGTACACTTCCTCCTCAACTGAAAGCTATTTATTAAATCAGTTGGTATAATAGGCAGAAAGGTAACGTGTTTGGAGATTTTCTGTTGCAATTACAGAAGTAAAAAAAAAAAAAAGTTGTGTTCAATAAATAGTAATAAAATGCTTGCTTTTCAGTTCTGAAATGTCTACAAGCGAGATACGCAGGAAACGTGTTCTACACCAATGCTGGCTGCAGTCTTGTGGCTGTAAATCCATTTCAGCCCATCTCTTCCCTCTATTCTCCCGAGCTTATGAAAGAGTATCATGCCGCACTTCGCCCTCAGGTACTGGGTGCATTTGAAGCTGCTGTCCTTCTACATCTACAAAGTGATACAAGCCATAAAGTTTTCCAAATCTGCTCTGATAAAGAAAGCCTGCATTGTCCGAACTATTTCTAGCAGCACAACTGGCTTTACTTAGTAGAAGGGTGGTACTGGATTTGTTTTTACCTATGTGAGGGAGGTTTTTTTCCTTCTGTATGACAGGCTCTCTCTCATATTTGGATGAGCTTCTGTCAGTGTTTTTAGCTTTATAAAGGTAAAATAACTGTAGGTAAAAGGAAAGACTTGATTGATATTTTTGTGATCAAATCAATTAGGGGAGACGATAGTAAATTCCAGTGACTAAGCACAGGGCTTGGAGCCAAAGCCTCCTAAGTTCCCATTCTTGTTGTCTGACTTTGAGCAAGCTACGCACCGTTTGTGCCTCTTTCCCAGGCCCACGTTATATGTCCCTAACTTCCGCAGAGCTAAGGATAAGTGACAGACTTTTTTTTTTTATTTAAAGCAGTAGCTGTCTTCTCCAACAGTGCGTATGTTAATTCCTAGGAGTTAAAACCTCACATCTTTGCTGTGGCTGAACAGACCTACCGAAACGTCCAAAGCCAGATCGAACCCGTGAACCAATCTATAATCGTCAGTGGAGAAAGTGGTGCAGGGAAGGTAAGGGTATGACTCCTCCTCTGCCTGCCTTTTATAACCTGGTTATTAACTTTTACATCGCTAGTATGTTTTGAGACTTGAGTGGGGCACAAAGCATTTCAGCTAGCCTCGGATCAAGAGGGGGAAAAAAAATCCCATAAAAAAAGAAATCACTATATAAAGCAACCTTAAGCTGTTACAGTAATTTTGGTGGGATAATACAATATTGTGCAATGCCGTGAGACTCAAAAAGGCTGCACCCAGTAAAATTCCTTCTAGGCCCCTATCTGCAGTTCCTGGTAGAGTAAAACTCCACTTAGTAAACAGGAATTCTGCTCAAGTTAATGATTGCTGAACCTGTCCGGCCAGGACTAGGTATGGGTCTTGCTGCAAATATAAATGCCCACAAGACTAGTGATAGTTCAGCTCCTAATTTGGGTTCCCATTCATCAACCCACCTGTTTTCAGCAGAGCACTTAAGCGTGGGCTTAACTGGAGGCACAAAGTGCTTGCTGACTTGGGGTCTTAATGGCTCCCAGTCAGTCCATCTTAATGTGACTGTCTGTTTACTCAGCAATGTTTATGAAAGGCTTTATCCCATAAGGCCCCAGTTCAGCAAAGCACTTAAAGTGCCATGCAGAGAGCTCCCACAAGCCAGAACCAGAAGCAATGTAGCAGCTCGAGCCTGGGTTATCTCTGCAGAATACTTCTGTACATTATATAGATATATCCATGCACATGTATTTTAAATGTCATTGATTGTAATGATGCTTCAGCACACCTTTAAAAGTGCTTTGCTGAATCAAGGCCAGAAAATGGAAATGACTGGTTTCTTCTAGGGGTGCACCAATAAAGACTTTTTGGGCCAAAACCGATGGCCAATTATTAGCAAGCCATATTGGCCGATCCACTTGCCGATATGCAGCCTGGCATCTTGGAGAGCAGCATCTGGCTGGTATGTCTGTTGTGGGGGGAGGGAAGGGGAGGCAGATAGAGGCCCCTGTGGTGAGGGAGGGAGTGGGGCTGGGGCGGGATTAGCTGTTGCCCAGCTGGGGCAGGGTGTGGGATGTAGCCATGAGCAGCTTATTCAGGGGGGGCATGGGGAAGAGGGGCAGATCCTGCCACTGCGCACATGCCCGGAGATGCTACGGGAGGCATGTGCCCCCCGGATCTGTA